TTGGGTTGTTTACCTTTATCTTGTTGTGGTGAGTCTCTTTTCTTGTGATGTACAGACTCTGCAATCCACTGGAGGGTTGGCTATGACTTGGTTCTCTTTAACTTGAAGGAAATGAGGAGACAATCTGTGAATGTTATGCTGCATGAATGTTTTGTTATGTTAATGAGACCACAGGGACAGATATACACCTGAAGATCACAGATGCCTCGTGAGGATCATTTATAAACAAACTTAGGGAACACTGACAGCTACTAGGAGAAAGAGGCTCAGAAAGATGCAGGATGGTTGAGGCCTTGATTTGGACTTCAAGTGTGAGAATGTGAGACAAGAAACTGTTCTTTAAAGCCACTTACTTGTGTTATCTTTTTATTACAGCAGTAGAGGTAATGAAGACAACTGGGTCTGTATGTTTTCATGAAGCACCTGGGGTGCTGGAGAACAAGAACCTCCTCTCCTTCTTCTGTAAGTCCCTGTGTACAGCTTCCATCCCACAGGGGCGCACAAGGAGCAAGGCTCTGGGGCAGCAGCACTTACTTTGCTGGCCTGGCAGGTTCATTTAAAGTTCCACTTTCAACGTCTGAATGCCTTGGTTTGAGGGAGGCCCAATACTTACGCTACTATCTTTCCTTTCTGAGATTCAGCTTCATTTATTTGTAAAACGAGGATGATAACACTTTTGCAACGGGCCCTAGTTTGAGGATTACATGTGATGGGTTATGTAAACCAAAGCCCAAATATAGTATATGACATAGTAAATAATGGATAAAATTTATTTAACAATAAAGAGTTATAGTAGGGGTGAAACCACAGGGTTGTACAGGGTAGGAGTGAGTGAAGAAAATGGGAAGGATCCAGCGAGGACCTGAAAAGACTGGGTAATTATGGGCAAGGATCAATGGTAACTGATTTTATAAAACATAATGCATGGGAATGATTGTATGAAACACAGTATGAATGAAAAATACTGTGAAACACAATGTATTATCAACTTTGTGAGCAAACCAATAGAGTTTCAATTTCTTCTCCACCCATCATGATGTTACCTATTGGTCTAGTGGCAAGAATCTTTGTTTTCTTTATATTGAGATGCAATTCATATGAAAGGCTGCATTCCTTGATCTTCTACAAGAAGTGCTTCAAGTCCTCTTCCCTTTCAGCAAGCAAGGTTGTGTCATATGCATAATGCAGATTATTGATGAGTCTCCCTCCAATCCTGATGCCACACTCCTCTTCATAAAGCCAAGCTTTTAGAAACATTTGCTTAGCATACAGAGTAAATAGGTGTGGAGAGAGAATACAACCCTGTAGCACTCTCTTCTTAATTTTAAACCATGCAATGTTTCCCTGCTCTGTTCACGCATCAGCCCCCTGGTCCAGGTCCAGGTCCCACATGAGCACAATCAAGTGCTCCTTCCCATTCTTCTCAATGTCAGCCACATCTCGTTATGATCCACACAAATGCCTTTGCATAGTCAATAAAGCACAAAGATATTCTTCTGGTATTCTTTAATCTCAGTGAGGATTCACCTCACATCAGGAATGATGTCCCTGGTGTCACAGCCTCTTCTAAATCCTGCTTGAATTTCTGGCAGTTCCCTATCTATATACTGTTATAGCCATTTTTTTAATTTTATGAAAATTTTAGTACCTTATAAATTATGATTTTAGGAAAGTTCTAAGCTGTTAAATATGTGTATGGACTTCTGAGATAAATTTTTCAAACAAATTTTTTCCTACTAGTTTATTTACAAAATATAAATACATTGTTGTTTTTTTAATTTTTTCACTATTCACAAAATTCTAATACAAATTCGAACAGAGTCTTTCCATTTCCCTCACACATCCCCCCATCAAATTGTACAACCCAATGATTAAGCTTCTCCCTGCACATCCACATCCTTCTGCTTCTAGCCTCTCCCACCCCTCCTGGATCCTTATACTCATTCTACAATAACTGTTTTATATAGTATTTGTCCTTGTGGGACTGAGTTAGTTCACTCAGCATAATGCTCTCCAGTCCCTCCCAAGTTAGGTAATAATTTACAAAATCATTGCTCCTGCATGCTTCATTGTATTCCATTGTGTGAATGTACCATTTTTGAATGATCTTGAGCAGTATTTTGCTTGCATGGTATATTAATATTGTTTGATAGTTTTGATTACCTTTCTTGGGAATAGGAATAAATATGGACCTCTTCCAATCCTTTGGCCAGAGAGCTGTCCTTCAAATTTCCTGGCATAGACTGGTGAGTGCATCCATGCTGCCTGTGTTAATTGAAAGAAGTGAACGGGTATCTCATCGATTCCTGGGGCTTTATTTTTGCCAATGTCTTCAATGAAGCTTCCACTTCCTCCTTCATTACCATTGCCTCCTGTTCATATGGTACTTCCTGAAATTTTTCAATGTCAATCAGTTCTTTCTCTACAAATTATTCAGGAGTAATGATGTCAGTTTGAGGGCTAAGGTATGTTTGAGTCAGGCCACAGTCTTTCTGATTACTTGCTATGCACCTATGAGCAAGACAGTGAATAAGGATGACGGAAGAATTATTGATGCATTTGCACTGTGGTGTTGGAGAGGAGATTGAACATGCAATGGACAGCCAAAGGAACAAATATGTCTTTCTTGTAAAGGGTGCAGCCAGATTGCTCTTTGCAGGCAAGAATGATGAGACTTTGCCTCACATGCTTTGGGTATGTTGCTAGGAGGGGCTATTCCTTGGAGAGGGACATGATGCTAGGAAGAAGGAAGGGTCGGCGAAGGAGAGGAAAACCCATGACAAGGTGGACTGATGTGGTGACTGCCACAATGGGCTCTTGTGTGTCAGGAAGTGTGAGGATGGCGCAGGACAGAACAGGATTCAGATCTTTTGTTGCTATAAGTTGTATTTGACTCGATGGCACCTAACAACAAAAACAATGTGGAGGCTAAAATAAATATGAGTTCACAATCTGGTAAACAATTGGATAAGCAAATAAGTGGAGATAAGGGATATCTCTTTCTTACAGAAGATTTCTAGTTAGTAAATGAATAAGGAATGAGTGAAACAGAAAAATCACCACAGTAATAACTGTTGTGGGCAAGATCTTTCAATGGTTGCTAAAATGAGTGGGCAAAAGACTGGGGAAAATCAGGTTAACTGTCTAAAAAGATCTCCCTTGTTTCCTAGAGTTATTGTCACAAGTCCCTACATTATTGTTGTTGCTAGGTGTGGTCAAGTTGACTATGACTCGCAGAGACTCCATGAACAACAGATCAATACCATGCCCTGTCCTGTGCCATCTTCATGATATCATGCTTAAGTCCACTGTGGCAAAAATCACTGTGTCAATCCTTCTCACTGATGATAAGGATAGCACAGGACTTGACAGGGTTCAGATCTGTTATTTATAGGGTTGCTATTATAAGAAAACAATAGAAAAACAAAATTGAAAGACAAGTCTACAAAATAACCTTTCAAAGTGTTAAGGTCTTGAGACACAAGGAAAGACTGAGAAATGGCTGCTGACTTGAGAGAAACATCAAGTATTACAATTAAGTGCAACATGGTAGCCTGGATCGAGTTTTGAATAGAAAAGGACACCAGTGGAAAACCGGGTAAAATACAAAGTGGTGTTTAGTTAATTTAGTTAACTGTACCTTTAGGCTTTCTTAGTTTTGGTAAATGTGTATGGTTATATAAGATGTTCCCATTGGGGGAAGCTGGGTGAAAGGTGCATGGAAATTTTTTGGTTCTGTTCTTGTAATTTTTTTCAGCAAGCCTAAAGTTATTTCAAAATAGCATTAAAAAGAAACACAACAAATAAGTGAGAGATCTCATATCGTTTTGTCTATTGTAGAAACACTGCTGTCTTTTACAAGTTTATAAGTATCGCATACACTTCTGTTCATTATACCACTACTCTACTATACCACATTATACCGTCACACTAGGACCATGTCCCACATGTACCATCTCATTGAATCCTCGAAATTTCTTAATCCTTAACTCATGGCTGATAAAACTGCAGCTCAGAGTTAAGGTTACCCTACTGTTCCTTCATGTCTCCCGTATAATCACATCACAGGCCAATTAGTGAAAAACAAACACAGTTTTCTCAATAAGAAACTCACGCAAATTACTCATATTTTATTAAACAAGGAAGAGAGTTGGCAAAAAGACATTTATTTTTGTTGAAGTATCCTCAAAGACAAAGATGTCCAATGATTCATCTGATAGCAAAGTTAATAAAAATATAGCTGATTTTTCTGAGTGCTCCCAATATGCATAGTAATTAAAGAAAAACGTAAATTCTAGCATTAAAACTAGGATCTTCACTTGGATTCAGAATTAGAAAAGGCCCAGCTTCAAAGATTCTGATTTGCACAGACTAAGTACTCCCATTTCCAGAAGTTCAAAAATCTCCTTTCTTATCTAAAAGAAACAAATTGGGGGGAAAAAAAGGTTAAGATCAAGAAAAGATAGTCTTGGCAAATAAATTCAACAGTCTGGACTTCTTGCTATTTATGTAGCTACAATGGACAGAATCCAGGAGGGCAAAAGTCCTAAGCTTCATCTGACTTAGAGATAAAAGACTTATATAAAGAAAGAAAGAAGTAGTACATAAAATATCTGTTTCATTTATATATAATATTTCAGTGCAGTACTTTATTGCTTTTTAAGAATTGCTAATGGTGATATCAACATACTAAAAATAACTTAGGGAAACAAATGGATTTTTTTTGTTTGTTTCTACCTATTAGTATAATTAGAAAACTGATGATGATTATTCAGATTTAATGGTGTAACTAAAACCAACACACACAGTCTCATTTATCTATCATCTAACTGGCTAAACCAATTTAAAAACCGTAGTCAATTTAGGGCACAGTGTGTGTATGTGTAGAGAAGCAAATAGTTTTGTAACCTGAACTGATGTCTAATACACTTCCCAGAATAATTATAATCAGGTCTGGTTATCCTGAGGATATACAGTTTTATATGGCAAATGAATTAATTCAACATGTTTGAAGGATTACTTCCAAGACTCTTAATGCCATAACTTGGTGATTGGCAGCCATGTTTATTACTGTTCAAACCTTCTCTCCAACAGCTATACTAGAGAATTAGCTCCAGGATAACAGCGTAGGTGGCAAATTTGCTTTTTATACAATGATGATCATGGACTACTTTCCTACATATAACACCAGTGAATCAGAGAAGGATGATGAAGATGGCCCAGGTTCTGGTCAGTTATTCATAGGGTCACTAGGAGTGACTCAACTTGACTCAACAGCACCTAATGTTAACTACTCCTGTGCCCACAAATGCATTCAATTATTCAGTAGTACCATACTAAGACACCAAAAAACTTTCCACCCCACAAAAATAAAATAGCCCTGTAAATTAGTACTGTTTTTGGGGCTATGGAAATGGGGGTTATTAATGAGGTAAGTTTTTGTCCTCCCAAAGAATGCATATGGATGAAAAGCAAAGAGGACTGTGCTTGTAAAGACAGGCGTAGAGAAAATGTAAGGAAATGTCGTTTTGCTAACAAAAAGTATAAATGTGGTCTGTAGTGACACAGAAGTCACTGGGCATTTTAAAAGAGAAATAAAGGCAATTCTTATAAAACATGTGGAAAGGATGCAGAATTATGTGTAAGGGGTTGAGGTGGCCTCCATAATTGTAGTTAACTCAGAGTTAAGTTAGAAATCATTTCAAAAGCCAGAATGTGCTGGCTTTCTATGTCAAAGACTTTATTACTGTGTTTGAACTAAAGTTCAAATTGGGAAAAAAAAATGATTAAAGGAAATTGCTGGTTACACGGTACCTCGGGAATGTCCATCAGTCTCCTCAACTTCTGATCTCTCCAGTTCCAGTCAAAAACCAGAAACTTTAAGGGGTTCAAATCAAGGCCACCTGAAAGAGCAGAGAGTGAGAGAGAGAAAGAGAGCTGCTGAAGGAAAGAGGTCATGACATGAGCATCTTAAAACGGTTTTTTGTTCTAGTTGCTTTTCGCCTCACTTGCTATTCTTTCCCCTGGAAACTAATCTCCACACATAAAGTGCTGCCCTTGCCCAATGGCAAACAAATGCAGAACTTGGAGACTTGTTCTCCTTTATAATCTTATCTGTGAGTCTGAGGAAAGCAGAGAAACGACTCTTGCTAAGCACAAATGCTCATGTGCTGGCAGAGAATCAATCTCCAGCTTCCTTTTCATGAAACCCCAGGAAGTGAAGTCTTGTTCCTGCAGTGATTTGACAAGAAGCATCCTGCAGTCAGGGATGGGGGCACCTCAGAGGAGTTGAATTCAGTGAAGTCTGGATGTCTCAAAGGAGGCAAGTGGGCCCAAGGATGAGGTCAGGGATGAGTGGCTAATTTCAGGCAGAAAAGGGAGTTAGGGTGAATAAGCTCTATTTAAAGTCAGCTTTTCTTGATGTTCTGCTGCTATTCAGTTTTCAAAAGTACATTATTTCAGAAGTGGATGGCCAGTCCTGCTTCCTAGTCTGTCTCAGTCTAGAAGTTCTGCTAAAACTTGTCTACCATGTGTGGCTATGCTGGCATTTGACATACTGATGGCATAACTTTCAGCTATAGGCAAGGCACCACAGTACAACACACTGCAAGTCTAAGAACAGGGCTACAACCCAGCAGAGATTGTGAAAATGGTACAAAATCAGGCAGGTCTTGGTCTACTGTATGGAGGGTCGCTTTCAGTTGAAACCAACTCAATGGCACCTAACAACAACATTCCCGGTGTGGCCAATCAATTAAGGACTCTGTTTCTTCTCTTTTCGTGTTGATGTGAACATTATGGCTAGGGGAGACTTCAGAAATTGTTTATTCCTCAGGTTTTCTCAATCCTCATGTTCCTCTCTATGTTGTGACTACACCCACAGCATGCATGGAAATGGTTTACAAAGTCTTCTTGTATCCTTCAACTTTGTCTGTGGATGTTTGAATATTCTCCTTTCTGCCCAACATACTTTTTCACGCTTTTTACAAATTACAGTGTCTCTTACATTAAACTCTGTCTTAAAACTTAAAATAACAATTGTAAATTGACCCAGGCAATAGGTTGCACACCCAAAAACGTTATTGTATAGCAGCATTATTCATCATTGCAAGAACATGGAAAAAGACCAAATGTCCAATCACAACCAAATGGATTGAGAAATTGTAGTACATTCACATAATGGAATACTATGCAACATTCATGACCAACGATTTTGAAAAATACTACATAACTTGGAAGAGGGTGGAGAGCATTATGCTAAGTGAACTAACACAGTCTCATAAGGACAAATACTGCAGAAGACCATTATTGTAAGGACGCATTCTCCCAACCCCTAAACCAGATGGATTAACTCAATTTCCAGTGTGGGGTTTTAGCACAATTTCTAAAATGCTACAGGTGATTTTATTACTGTCATCAAAAAAGAGTAAATAGATACAGCTTTTCTGGTATGAGGCCTAGTATAAAAACATAAGATGCTTATTATTTAATAATGCAATTTCCCTCTCATGGTAAATTTCCAATAAAAACATACGCAAAGGTGATCATTTATAATAGCAAAAATATAAACCGAATATCCTATCATAAAAGAATTGTAATAAACAATATGACTTTATAATAGAATATTATATAGCCATTACAAGGGAAAGCTTTAATTATATTTTATGACAAGGAAGTTCTCATGAGACATGTTGTTGTTGTTAAATGCCTTCTAGTCAGCTATGACTTGTGATACCATGAACAATGGATCTGAACCTGGCCCTATCCTGTGCCATCCCCATCATTTATGATATATTTGAACATGCTAGATAGTGTGTTAAAGTTACTGTGTTAATCCATCTCATTGAGGGACTTCCTCTCTTTTACTGACCCTCTACTTTTCCAAAGATGATGTCCTTCTTCTAGGACTGGCCTATCCTAACAAATGCCTAAAATATGTGAGGTGAAGTGTCATGATCCTTGCACTCAAGACATATTTGTTTTCTTGGCAGTCCATGGGATATTCAGTACTCTTCCTTGACACTACAACCCAAAGACATTGATTCTTCTGGCTTCTTTGTCATTATTCAGATGCATAACAAGTAATTGATAAGAGAATGGCTTGAATCAGATACACCTTAGTGGTGTTGTTTTTTTTAATTTTACTAATTTTAATGAACATTTACAGAGATTTTGGATTTCCATTCATTCGTTGTTGCATTTTTCTCCCAACCCATCCCTCACCCCCAGTTCACTCTTCTCTTTGAAAAGTAAAAGAAAAATCCCTTCATTGGTATACAATTCCACCCCCCGCCCAAGTCCACTCCACTATGCAACCTTCATAACCCCTGTCATAACCATAATAAGCAATCATATATCGCTTTTAAACTGTTCTCTCCCTCATCTGTTTCAATGCAATATACATGATTTATCCAATTTTTCTCAGTCTCACCCCAACTTTGATGTCAGTCCCGTTCTACAACAGTGGCACTGTGCAGTATTTGTCCTTCTGTGACTGAGATATTTCACTCAGCATAATGTTCTCCAGGGTCACCAATTTTGAATAATATTGCATGAGTTCCCTTAGTCTTTAAACTGACATAATTGTTCCTTAACACCTTAGAGGTCCTTGACATAAGAAGACTAACTCAGTGTAAATATTTTTTACACTTTTTCTTGACTGCTATTGCCAAGGGTGTTGATTGTGGATCCAAGCAACATAAAATAATGAGACTTAGCAAGTTTAAAAATAGTAGGTTATAACACGCAGTATAATCTCTGTTTTTTAAACACCCATAGAAAAAAGATGGGATGGAAATGTATACAAATATTCAATAATAAAATTATTTCTGAAGTGATTTTAATTTTCTTCTCTGCACATTTTTGTATTTTTTCAAGGTTCTAATAATCAAATTTGGAAGGAGGAGACGCATCCACTTCCGTAATAGCTTGCCTCCGGAAACCCTATGAACCTGGAGAGAGGATGACACCCAAGCGTAGAGGACTCTCCTTCACAGGGTCGCTATGAGTCGCCTGTGACTTAACAACAACATAATAATAAAATATCCTTTATAATGACATTAAAACAATAAAAGTCTACCCATAATTGTATAGATATCAGTGCCACAGAGCCTGCGTATGTCTTTCTTCATTGGCCTATATAAAATATTTAAGTCACAGTTACGTAAAACAAGCTGCATTCTATTGGACTTCTTTTGTTGGTTTTTTAGTGCTTAGATTGCTGGCATTGTTCTCTTTGTATGTAGCATAAGAACTGTGATATAAGTGGTTAATAACTATTAAACCATCCATATAACTGGAATGAAAAAGTAAATGTTATTTTAACTGTTGTTGTCGCGTGCCATCAAGTCAGAAAAGACTAGTAGCTGACCTTCCAGTGGGTTTTCAGAGGCTGGAAGTCACGTGGGAGGAGACGGCCCGTCTTTCTCCCATGGAGCAGCTGGTGGATTCAAACTACATGCCTTAGAGATTGCAGCACAGCTTCCTACCACTAGGCCAACAAGTATCATTTTTTAAAAAACCCAAACAAAAACAACTCCAATAACTCTTTAAGTCATTTTCTCATGTGAATTAGCCTTCACAGTGAATTATCACAATTTTAATATCAACATTCTAAGCAATTCTCTTTTATCTTTCCCTATTCTCCTTTAAAAAAAAAAGAAAGAAAGCAAAGAAAAGAATAGTGGCCCTGTGGTGGTGGTGGGTCTGGTGACAAAAAAAAAAAAAGAGATCCTGAGAAGGGGAGAGGTGAATCTCCTAGCTTAGAGCTGTGGGGAAGGCAGAACCAAGCTGAGAATGCATCCCTGAGCCCTCCTACTGCTGGTCTTTACAAGCTCATGTCTCACAGAAGGAGTTTCATCTGTTCCTTAACTTTGAATGCCCTCTTACGTTTATGGAACATAATCTAACACCTCAGCTTCCTAATCAGATGGTAGATTAAAACTGAATGCCTGAGGGGTGGCAGAGCCACCAGTGCTCCATAGGAAATATTAGAAATTATTTTCTATTAAAGAGATCAATTTTCTGGCTTGGCGAATCCATGAACTGTAGTAACAAGTGATTCAACTGGAAAGAATGTCAAGTTGTGAAGGATGGATATTGATTAGTATCTGATCTTTATGCAGAAGGATGTGGTATCAGGATCAGAGGAAGGTTCATCAACAGTCTTCATTATGCAGACGACACAACCTTACTTGCTAAGAGTGAGGAGGACTTGAAATGCTTGTTTCAGAAGATCAAAGACTATATCCTCCAATATGAGTAACATCTCAACATCAAGAATATAAAAATCCTCACCACTGGGCCAATAGGCAATATCATAATAGATGGAGAGAAGGCTGACGTTGTCAGTGATTTCATCTTGCTTGGATCCACAATCGACATCATCAAGATCCAGAAATCAAGAAATCAAGACATATTGCACTGGGAGAATCTGCTGTCAGGGACCTCTCCAAAGTATTAAAGAGCAATGATGTCAGCTTAAAGTTTAAGGTGTGCCTGATCCAAGCCATGGTCTTTTCAATCATCTGCTATACATTTGAGAACTGGAAAATGAATAAAGGTGACAGGAGAAGAATCAATGCCTTTGAGTTGTGGTTCTTCAAAAAAATCACACAGATATGTCTTGGAGAAAGTGCAGCTAGAGTCCTCCTTGGAGGTAAGGATAATGATAATGAAGCTTCTTTTTACATACTTTGCTTTGGGAGTTGGAGGGTCAGCGAAAGGGAAGAAGACCTTTAACCAGATGGATTGACACAGTGGCTGCAGCACTGAGATCAAGGGTATCAGCAATGATGAGGACGGCACAGGATCAGACATGTGCAGGCCTATTATTCACAGGGTCACTATGAGTTGGACTTGCCTTGACAACACTTAGCAATAACAACCACCTTAACATCAAACGTCTACTTATTATCAAGTCTCAATAAACTCCGTGACTCTGTTCCTTTTTGACGGGGCTGTGTTTCTTTTCCTAAATGCTTCCTTCATATCTCCCTTCCTATTTTACCACTCTCCAAATGGCAAAAGGTCATCTCCCACGACCTTCTATAATTTATGTCTTTGGAAATGCAATGGAGGGTGAGTTATGAGTGAGTTCTGATTCAATAGCAATGAGTTGTAATGGGCTTCTTCTGTAAAGTCTTTCATTCAGATTCCAAGCACCATAAAAATCTCTCTGTTGCTTCAACTCCTCTAGGTTTTATAAGTCTCTAGGTGGAATAAATGTTTAACTGCCTGATGATTAACTGAAAGGTTGGAAGTTTGAGCCTACCTGAGTTCTGCCTGGCATTCTGCTTCTGAAAGGTCACAGCCTTGAAAACCTGATAAAGTAGTTTTTTACTCTGACACAGTTTAGTTGTAAGTTAAAATTGACTTGATATCACCTTAAAACAATAGTTTTTGTAATCCAAAGCATTCATTTATCTCGTCTCATGTTGCCAGTCTCATTTTATGTGTATTTATTTCCTCAGTTGGATCAAGAGCTCTTTGAGGAAAAGGTTCTGGAGCTGGTGAGGCCTGGCCTGGGCTTCAGGTTTGTTTTCATAAAAATGCCAACTTGCAAGGCTGCTGGGGTTCTAAGCAACATACCTAAAGGGATCTACTATAGCACTCAGTACAGATGGTAACACAAAAAATGCTTCTTTTCCTAGACTGGGCCCAATTTAATTACTTCATTGTAGTTTCTTTTACTCTGCATAGTAGGTTCAATTTTGAATGGTTTTCATCTGGAGAATCAGTATTTTCAGTTTTTGTCTGTTTTCTGTCAAATAACATGTGTATATACTGATATGCTATGTTAACTAATGCTATGCATTAGTTTCATATTTATATATACAAAAAAATCTAGGAATAACTTCAGATAATTATGTAAAGATTCTACTAAATGTAAGTATTAAATTAGTAATTTGGAAAGGGGTGTTGAAATGAAATCTTTAAATATTTCTGACAGGTAGAATAGTTAATAAGGCTAGCAGATTTTTGGGCTACTGCCTTTAATTAAGTCAATGAAACTACAAAAATTACTAGTGGATGTTGTCTGGACCACTTTCTAGATAAAGAAAATGCACTCTGGAGAAAGATTCCTAAATATCTGTATTTAATTCACAGGAACTGAATTTTTTGCTCTTTTATGTTTTAAAAACATAAAAGAAACAGGAGTCTTGGGGGAACCTAGACTTAATGAAGCGAAAAGAGAAATGCTGACCACATGCAGTTCTACAAAATCCAAATGTGGCAAATTGGTGTACGGAAGTCTGTGTGAATCCGCTAATCTGCTTCAAGCACTCAGAATCTGAATGTATTTAGGTGGGCATGTGTACTTTAGTTTGCCTTAGTCCTTGCCATTCCTACTGGCTGACTTTAGAGCCTAAAGGCTGAGGTTCTAACTCTTGAATTAACTCAGAAGTCTGGTTTCATTAGTCACAAAGGCAGTTTCCTAAAGGCAAACTTCCAGCCCTGGCATCTCACCGTCTTTTTTCTTACCTTGTTTAATAAGTTCTTTAATCCTTCCTGGAGTTCCTACACCCAGATGCACCACCCGCTTTTCCAGCAACTTTACTTGCTCCTGGATCTATTTGAAGAGGGAAGAGGAAGAAGAAAACGAAGAGGTATTCACAAGTGCAGTCATAGGCCAATTTTTATCACTTTATCTCAAAGTTAAAAAAAGAAAAAAGCAAATGGTGGGGGTCAACATCCAGGAAAAGCATCTCCCCAGGACACTGGTAAAAGCTCAAAGAATTCAGTATACTGTCAAGCCTCAGTTTCTTCCCAGGAATCTCGGAGGATGAGGGACTGCTGTGGGGAGAAGTGAACATGTGGAGGCAAGGAAATTCAAAGAAATCCAGGATGACTGTAAAATAGGCTTTTAGGAAGGCACCAAAGAAATGGCTCATGAGAGGAATCAGAAGAAGACGAAGAGGGAAAAGCTGGGCTCTTGAAGTGGACCGGAAAGATAGTTACAGGAGCCCCTCTAGGCCCTGTGAGGAAACACAGGTCTGCTTACCTTTATGTGTTTTGCAAATAATTTCATAACTTTGCTTTCTCCTTTGAACGCTGTCATCGACCTAATGAAAAGTAACAGATATATGCTCAAGCAATATTACTCACTCCTGGCACACTAATTAAGTATTACAACTTGCTTTATTCAAATAAATGTATACATGTTTACACACACACACACACACACACACACACACACACACACACACACACACACACTTCTGAGATTTTTCTGCTTACCCTATCTCTAGAATGAGAGTGTGATGGCCTCTCAACTTTCTTAGTTATCAAAACATACACAGTTGCCCTTCCTTTTTATCATAGAATTTTGGTATTTCAGGCTCCTGGCATAGAAAAATCTTGAAACTCTACAGTGCAGTTCTCATAAAACATTTAATTGCAAGAAACCTCTTAGAGCAGTGATGTCAGCCTGAACTCTGTGGAGTCCAAGGCCATCTACAAAGAGCTGCCCATGAACGTGGTTAGGAAGCTTTGAGGGGGAACTGACAGGGAAAAAAAGAAGAGGTTAGACCCTTATTCAGTCAGACCAATGTCACTTTGATTTACTTTGAAGAACATCAGAAAAATAAATTCTATATGGAAAGGTTTCTGCAAAAAAATGAAAGAATAAAAGGAAGAAGGAAATAAGGTAGGAAGGAAGAAGGAACGAAAACTATTGTTGCAAAGGACTGCTCCATCAGGAATATCTGAGCAGGCAGGTAGCACAAATAGGTGAGGTAATCTATGAGACAGGGGTGCAGACTGAAAACCCTATAGAGCATGCACCCCATTAAAGGAGGTCATTGTGCTCAGCTGAGCCAATTATTATGATGTGAGATTATGGGGCAGTGTTACAAGATTTTGTGATTTTAGAGATGCTCAAAATCTAAATTTTTCCATGTTCTTGTGATAGTGAATAATACTGCTATGAACACTCCTGTGCAAGTCTTCATTTGTGCCTCAGTTCTCATTTTCTTGGAGTCTATTCCAAGTAGTGGAATAGCCTGGTCATATGAAATATCTACGTTCAGCCTTTTGAGGAAGCATCAAACTGCCTTCCAGAATGGTTGTACCAACCATAAATGAATGGATTGAAAAATTATGGTACATTCGGCGAGCTCTGGTGGCCTAGTGGCAAGAAGCTGCACTGCAATCCCAGAGGCACGTGGTTCAAACCCACCAGATGCTCTGCTGAAGAAGGAGGGACAATCTCCTCCTGTCCTATCAGATCTGATTTGAAGGTACACACACAAATAATAAAAATAATCTTTAAAAAAATTATGGTACATTCACACAATGCTATGTAGCACAGAGGAGCAATGATTTTGTAAATTATTACCTAACTTGGGAGCGACTGGAGAGCATTATGCTGAGTTAACTCAGTCCCATAAGGACAAATACTGTCCAAAACCATTACAGTAGAATGAGTATAAGGATTCAAGGGGGTAGAGGGAGGGGAGAAGCAGAGGGATGAGGATGTGCAGGGGGAGGGGGGATTACTCATGGAGTTGTACAATGTGATGGGTGGGGGGGGTAAGCAAAATTGGAAGAATCTGTTCTCGAAAACAAAGTATTAGAATTTTGGAAATAAACTAGTATAAAAATCCCCCTAGATTGTTATATATTAAATATAATTTTAAATTTGAGCAATATGCTTAAATGTTTTCCACACAAAATTCTTGAGTAACTTTAGCTCTTGAGCAGTTAACTGATAGTTTATAAGGTGGTCAGACCATATGGTTTCTAAAACCAAATCCAAACCCACTAGGGTAGATTCTGATCATGACGATCCTCGTCAGGCATCAAATGTGATAAATCTTTATGGAAGAAGACCGTCACTTTTTCTCTGGCAGAGCAGCTGTTGGATGTGAACTGCTGACTTTTGGATTAGCATCCCAGCTCTTAATCTACTACACCACTGCTGTTTTGTGTCATTGAGTCAGAATCCACCCTTAAGTGATCCTCCATTGGTTTTCAGAGGCAGTAAATCTCACAGAAGGAGACTGCTCATGCTTCTCCCCCAGAACAGCTGGATTCAAACCCCGTGCCTTTGGGACTGCAGTGCAGCTTTTTATCACTAGACCACCAGATCACCTTACTATGCCACTAAGGTTCTTTATTTAGTTTCTAGGTACTCAAAATTCTGGACCTACTTAGATCAATTTAGAATGTCCACAACATGAGTCCAGATCATGCTGCTTTCTGTTTTACATGACCATCGTCACTAACTCAGCTTTGACAGCAGGTCCTCAGCCTTCACTGAGGGAAGCTCTCTAAATGTGTCTTGTCAACTGTCTGTTGCTTTCTTGTTGAGGTGATGCCGTTATATATATCACAGAGGGGAAAACTTTACTTCCATTTTGAGGAAACTTTATTTATTAACTTCAATTCTCATACAAGAGATGAATTGCATTGGGAAAGTCAGCTGTGAGGAACCTCTCAAGATTACTGAAGAGCAACGACGTCAGGCTGGAGATTAAGGTGTGCCTGATCCAGGCTATAGTCTTTGTAATTATGTGCTATGCATCAGAGAGTTGGACAGTGAATAACGATGATAGAAAGAGAACTGATGCCTTTGAGCTATGGTGCTGGAGAAGAGTGTTGAATACACCATGGACTGCTAGGAGAACAAACAGGTTTGTCCTGGAGAGGGTGAAGCCAGAATGTTCCCTGGAGTCAAGGATTCTGAAGCTTCGTCTGACATACTTTGGGCATGCTTCAAGGAGGGACTGGTCCTTGGAGAGGGACATCATGTTTGGGAGAGTGGAGGGATGACACAGGAGAGGAAGACCCTTGGTGAGATGGATCAATTCTGTGAGTGGTGTGGTAGGAATGAATGTGTTTGAGACAGCGAGGTTGGTACAGGATAGAACGGTGTTTAGGGCTCTTGTACATAAGGTCGCTATGAGTCGCAAACGACTTGATGGCACATAACAACAACAACAACAACATACAATATCACAAATCTGGCAATTTAAGATGTCCTTCCATTTGTCTTTGCTGCTGAGAAATGCAAACAAGGTTATGGTTGGGCCATCTCTGCAACTGATCAGTACCTAATGGAAATGACCATCACCACCAATTCTACCTGGATCCACCTGTTTTTCTTGATTTTACTGGATCTTTATGTTTCCCCACCTATTTTATAATTGTTGTATGTCTCTCTAGAAATCATTCAATATTGTTTGGAGATTAGATAAGCACAAGCGAACAAATGAGATCATTGCATCTGATGCTTCGGAACAGGTGTAACAATAGTATTGCCCGACGGTACTCTTTTTCTTTATGTATTTTTATGTCTTGAGCAGTAATATTGACTAATAGGAACACACACATTTAAAGAATTGTGAAATGTGCTACACAAGTTTTAGTGTACCATAAAAGTTTTACTTATAGATAAGCTTTTTCCAAGGCAAAGTTAATTAGAAAGACACTTGGGGGGACCTGCTTAACATGGTTCTCAGGAAAACAGCATTCTCATGAAAGCTAAAATTAGTCAGTATTGGTTTTTCCTCAATAAAGCTCATTATGTCTGTTCTGAAGTCCCTTTTGCACATCACTGAACCTTGAGATGTATGGTAATATTACTAGAATCACAGAAAAATACTGAAAATTAGTAAATGAAATGTGGCAACATAGTACCTTTATGCTCCTCAAAGAGGAATTTATGTACAGTAAAAGCTAAAATGAATTTGACAACTTATTTTTTAAAGTGTGTGCCTTCAGCATGGCCTCTTTGCCATGCATACTTGACTCTGAAACGGATTCTGTGGTGGTGCTTTTCAAAGCTCAGAGAGTCAGTGTGAATTACAGTTTTAGGATCAGAAGCATTTGGGATCTTGAAGGTCAACTATGGTTGAAGCAGAAACAACTGAAAGAAAAACTTTTGTTTTACTGGGCAGGTATGTGATGTAATTCAATGTGTATGTCTAGTAGCATTAATAAGAAATGTTAACTTCTAAATTTATTATTTCTTCTTTTAAGGTTATGATTTAATTTTTCACTTAGAAAAACAGAAGTGCTGCACCTATTTAATCCCATTCCTTGTTTTTAATAATTTGGAACTCTTTATTGTTGTTTTCTAGGAATGTCTAGTACAGAGCCTGGCTCCTGGAGAGAGCTGGCCTCAGTTAACTCTATCTTACTCTGATGGCTAAATCTTTCTGTAAACTGTATGTTACCACAAATTTTGGGGAAGACTTTTTTTTTATTATTCTACAAAAATTACAGTAAATGACTGATTTCCTGTGGGGGAACTTACAGTAAATGAAAAGGTATATTAAAGCACTCTGAAAAACAATGTTTAATTACTGTAAAAATATAATTTTTGCATTTAAATTTTTGGTCTATTTGGAAATGATTTTGGTTTAAAAAGTGAGATATGTATCTAATTGTATTTCTCCAAATAACCACCTTGTTCCAGTTTGTTTCTTGAATAACCCAGGTTTTTCTATAGATTTACCACTTTAGTTATTTGCAATATTTTTCATATGCATATGTATCTACGGCTCACCTTTCCCTTCTGTTCCACTATCATGCATATGCCAGTTCCATATTATTTTAACTATTATGAATGATAATGTTTTGTTTGCCTGTTGGTAATCTAATTGGATTGACACAGTGGCTTCAATAGTAGTTTAAAGCACAGTAGAGATTATGAAGACGGTACAGAATTAGCCAATTTTCTTCCTAAGGTTGCTATGAGCTGACTCAATGGCATGTAACAATATTAGGGAAGCTTTCAGGAAGAAGTCCTCAGAGCAGGGAAAAGCTGCATGGTTCAAAATCAGGAAGGGAGTGTGTCAGGGATGCATTCTGTCTCCATACATTTTCAAACTATATGTAGAACTGATCACTGGAGAGGCTGGGCATTATGAGGAGGAATGTAGCATAAGGATTGAAGGAAGACTCATCAACAACCTATATTATACAGATGACACAACTTGGCTTGCTGAAAGAAGACCTGAAGTGCTTTATGCAGAAGGTCAAGGACTATAGTCTTCAATATAGATTGAAGCTCAACATCAGGAAGACAAAGATTCTTACCACTGAGCCAAATGGTAGCACCATGATGGATGGGGAAGAGACTGAGGTGGTTAACAGTTACAGCTTGCTCGCCTCCACAATCAACACTCTTAGCATCAGCAGTCAGGAAATCAAAAGACAAATTGCATTAGGTAAATGTGCTGTCAGGGACCTTTCCAGAAGACTGAGAAGCAATGTCAGTCTAGAGACTAAGGTGTAGTTGATTCAGCACATGGTCTTTGCAATTACTTGCTATGCATCAGAGAGTAAGGTACACCTGATTCAGGCCATGGTCTTTGCAAAAATACTTGCTTTGCACCAGAGCGTTGGATAATGACTAAGGATGATAGAAGAATTGATGCTTTTGAGTTGTGCTGCTGGAGAAGAGTCTTGAACACACCATGAACCGCCAAGAAAACAAATAGGTCTGTCTTGGAGAAAGTGAATCCAAGTTTCTCCTTGGAGGCTAGGATTTTGAAGCTCTATCTCACAGACTTTGGGCACAAGGCCAGAAGGAACCAGTCCTAGGAGAAGGACATCATTCTTGGAAGAGTGGAAGGACAGTGCAGGAGAGGAAGACTATGGATGAGATGGAATGATACAGTGACTAGGGCAATGGAGGTGGGTGTGTCGAGCCAGTGAGATTGGCTCAAGACAGGCCAGGCTTCAGACCTACTGTGCATAATGTTGCTATGAGTTGCAGGTGATTCGATGGCACATAACAACAACAACAACCTAAAGCCCTTGCCGCAGAAGGTCAAGGACTACAGACTTCACTATGGATTGAAACTCAACATCAGAAAGACAAAGACTCTCACTACTGGGCCATCTGGCAGCACCATGATAGATGGAGAAGAGATTGAGGTTGTTAACACAGCTTGCTTGGCTCAACAATCAACATTCTTGGCACCAGCAGTCAGGAAATCAAAAGACAAAGGGCACTGGGAAAATATGCTGTTAGGGACCTCTCCAGAGTACTGAGAAGCAAAGATGTCAGTCTAGAAACTTACATGTGCTCTCATTACAGGCCATAGTCTTCACAATTACTTGCTATGCATCAGAGAGCTAGGCAATGACTAAGGATGGCAGAAGAACTAATGTCTTTGAGATGTGGTGTTGGAAAAAGAGTCTTGAACAAACCATGGACTACCAAAAATATAAATAAGTCTGTCTTGGAGAGGGTGAAACCAAGTTTCTCTTTGGAGACAAGGATGTTGAAGCTCCTTCTTGTACATTTTGGGTACGGGGTCAGGAGGGACTGGTCCTGAGACAAGGACATCATGCTTGGAATAGTGGAGGGACAGTGCAGGAGAAGACAACTCTGGATGAAATAGATTGATATGGTAACTGGGGCAATGGGGGTAGTTGTGTTGGAGTAAGTGAGACTGGCTCAGGAGAGGGCAGTCTTCAGAGCTGTTGTACACAGGGTCACCATGAGCCGCAGGTAACTCACCACTCATTAGAACAATAACAATTCTCTTATTAGTGTTATTTTTCAGAATTCTTGTGGCTATTTTTTCTAATGTACTTTTCTCCCATGAATTTAAAATTCATTTGTTTAGTTTTAAAAGAATTCTATTGGAAGCTTATTGAGAATTGGTGACATTTGTTCATTATCTCAGAGAAAATGACATTTTCACGATATTTAGCCTCTATTTATGAATGTAACATGTCTTTTTGTTTTATCAAGATCTTCTATGTTGCTCAAATAATGGTTTTTAAAATAAGTTTTGATAAATATATTTCTTGGTATTTTATCTCTTCTAGTTACTATTTCAAATAAGGAAACAATAGTTTGGCATATATTGGTTACTCAGAAAATATCTTTTCCTTCTAAAAATAGAAGATTGGTGAAAATCTCATATTAAATCTTGACTTCCCATGATTTGTTCTTCATATTCCAGGTAAAGTGATTCTTTTAAACAATTTTTCAGATCAGGTAAATACTCTTTTCAAAACCTCTCACAACATCCCAAAATGGCAACTTTTACACGTATGGTCCCACTGCCTGGAATGGTCTTCTGACAGATACTTGCTTGACTCTCCTCTTTACTGTTCAAATCTCTGCTCAAATGTCATCTTAGAGGAGCTTTCAAGACCATCTTTTAAAACCAAGTCCTATCTTCATACCATATTTTATGTTTTCTTCCTATAACTTATCACTATCTTCTATATATATAATTATAACAGGAAAGAAAATGTGTGGGTTTTTTTTTTTTTTGTCTGTCTCGCCAACTGGATATAAGTAGATGGTGGTAGGGGTTCTGTCTGGTTGTTCATCACCGTATCTCCAGTACATAGAGCATTTGTGTTTGGCCCATATTAGTTACTCAGAAAACATTGATGACATCAAACAGGTCAAACTTCCTACCTAATGAGCTCCAGGGCTCGGACGGCAGAGCTGCAGATAATTAGCATCAGGACTGATTTCTTCTCACTGTGGTTTTTCCGCAGTTTCACCCACTTAGGACATACTGGAAAATAGACCACACATACAAGATTATTACTCTACACATAGTAAAATCTGGGAATAGTAACATTTAGACAGAAAAATTAAGTATTCTGCAAATAATTTTTTTGTCAATGTTTATGTGACATACAATACACACAAAAAAGCATGCTTCAATATAGATTTTATTTTCTGGTTGTTCTATATATTAGCTTAAAATGAAATATCATTGACCTTCACACAGAATAAACATTTTACATATTAACAATAAAATATTTATATAACTACATAATGACTATTACCACTAACATTATTATTAGCCTACAACACATACAATATAAAAGTAGCTAGATGTGATTGTTGTTGTGCTGTGCATCACTGAGTCTGAACAGACCCATAGCTAACTCTCCAGCAAGTTTTCAGAGGCAGTTAATTGCACAGGAGGAGACTGCTCATCTTTCTCCCAGGGAGCAACTGATAAATTCAAACTGTGGGCCTTCAGGATTGCAACGCAGCTTCTTACCACTAGGCCACCAGATCAATTTTAGGACTAAGTAAAAAAAAATATAGAATCATTAATTTTTTAAAAATTATTTTTGTGTGAGTGTACCGTCAAATCAGATCTGACTGGTACAGGAGGAGATTGTCCCTCCTTCAACCGGCAGAGCATCTGGTGGATTCGAACCGTGCGACTCTGGGATTGCAGTTGCAGGTCCTTGCCACTAGGCCACCAGAGCTCCCCTAGAATAATTAATTTTTTATAGTTTAATTTATGTTTGATGTTGGAAGGCAATGTCAAAAAGGGCTCTGACTCAAGGAAATAAAATATTAAAGGGATACTTAATAAGAAATGAAGTAGGACTGACACTGCTGACATTTAAATTATAGCAAATATTTAACATTGACATTGTGCTAAGTATTTTACACACATTACCTTTTCTAGTGCTCAAAATCCTATGAAGCTGATGCTATTATTAGTTACAATATTTACATTAACTGAATTGGAGCCTAAGAAATGATAAATGACAAGGTTACCCAGTTTGTAAGTGGGACTGGATGTTGTTTGAATTACTTCGACTTTTAAAAAGAAGAATGTTAAATCTCTACATCTAAACTCTTTATAACAAGAATAATAATCTAGTTATCCACAATAAAAAATGAATATGCACTGAGAAAATGATTAAGGTATGGTCTAAATTCTGAGTAGATGAAAAGAATTTCAGAATATTAGTACAGGAACAGAAATCACATGGTCCGACTTCCTTATCTTTCTGATTAAAAAAATAAATAAATAAATCAAGTTCCAGGGTACTATTCAGTGACTTTTCCTAAATAAAAGAACAAATCATTGGAGGATCTGGCTAGAACCTGAGACTTTAGACTCTGAGAGCAATGCTTCTAATGTGCTAAAAGGAAAAAAAAAAAAA